TGGTATATCCCCATTACTCTGACCATATCTGTCTTCCCTGTGTCAGCTCTGATGTTTGAACAGCTCTACATGGAACTAATCTATGGGAGAACTAAACTGGAGGGGAAATGGCTGAATTAGGGAGAAAAGGCAGAGTTATGTACTAGTCTGGGCTCTTTTTAAGATAGCTGCATCCTGTTGTCAAAGGCAACTGATGTGCAAAAGCTGCCTCCTAAGCAATGGGCATAATTTGGCTGTACATTGCCACAATAATTTCACATTGACATAATTTTTATCATAGAGCAGAATAAACAGTAACATTTTATTCTGTTGCAAATTGGAATACAACACTTACCCCTTTTCTGATAGAAAAAAAAAAAAAACCTTGAAGCTCGTATTTTAACATTTACTAGAAGAAATAAAGCACTGCAACGTATTACTTTCAGCTCAGTCCTAGAGGAGCCACTTTACAATATTGGCATTATTACTAGTGGCCCTAACTTCCAAGCAAACCACAGAGAAATCAGGGGTTTTTGTTTGCTTACCATAAAAAGTCTAGGTAACAATACTAAAAGAATACTAGGAACACATACAGGTAGAGGCACAAGTGCTTCCATACTTGAGCTGTGCAGCATGACCAGTTACCCTTTATTTTTTCATCTGCTGAAAGTAAGGTATTTGATACTACGCACAGCTACAGCGGAACAAAGCGTTTTCAGTAACACACGTCTTTTCGTTAGTTTTAGAAGACTAGTCCTCAACTTTTATGTGGGGAGGAACACCATAAAAACAGTTCTGTAGCTCAAAAGCATTTGCAAAAGGGAAGAAATAGGTGCTGTGCAAACAGACATACCTAAAACACTATGTTAAAGACTCTTGTTTGAGTACCTGTTTTACTCAATCTCCCATCCCAACATAAACAATTAAAATCAGAGTTTGAGAGAAGAGGTTGACTGGCACATTTGGGAGCATGAGTACCAAAAGCAGCCTAAAGCCTATTTTCACTAGTGTTTCACTACGATCTCTCTGCAAAAGAAGGTTGTCAGCCCCAGCCACTGAAACAACAGTTACTCTCCTGATCTCATCTGTAATTCCATGTGACCTTGGATATATACAATGTTCCCAATGACTTGTAGGAGACCCACTCAAGTTACATCGTGCAAGATTCATCATCCCTTTTTGTCCCAAGTCTAAGCAGCACAAACACGTTGCCATCCCCAGAATAGCAGTGCCTCTTGGCATGGTTTGTGCAGCCCTATTCTTCATCCTGGGATAGGTGCCAGCAGGGAAGTGCCCAGGCCAGCTATAGCCAAAATTGATTCTGTACAGAAACTTAATCCTCAGGGCCACACCCATTTCTGCCAACTGTTCTTACTACTGACGGCAGCATGCATTTAGCACTTTAACTTAAAATAGCTTTTTTAACATACTTACCTTGAAAAGTCAAAGCAAAAGCTGCCTGCAGCATCTCCCCTTCTAGGGCCAAGGTACTGGTTTGGTCACATGGACACTGGTAGAAGAGGTGTTCCACTACACTTGCTCTCCCATTCTCCAAACCAGGATAAAATAGTTTTGGTACAGGAGAGACCATGCCAGTTGCTTAATTATGAAAAAAAAAGGAGCAGCATGGGGAGAGGACAACACAGATAATTTGGGATCCATCATCTGTTATTAGGTCACTGGATTCCCACATACTCTTGCGGTCAAACTCCCTCTGGCTTGCACACAAAGCTGCTGTTGGCAGAAGCTCTTATCCCGGAGATAACAGCTCTGCTTGGATCCAAATTAACCCATCTAGCTCTGCCAAATGAGTCTCAAAATATATTCTCCACCATAGCTTTCTAGACTGACAGCCTGCAAGCAGGTTTTTTTTTCTTGGGTTTCACTCATTCTGTGTTAGGAAATATAAGAAACTGTAACTTTAACCTGGAAGTGGGCTGAAACCCCAAACTTTAAATTTGTCTACCTAGACTCAACAGCTTTTTTACAGATACAATGACCTCTGTGCTGTGAGAGCAACAAGTGAAGTGTACTGCTGCTGTTACACTGCTGCTTATTTAAACAGATGGATAATATAAACTATTTAACATTTCCATGCAACAAAGAATTAAGGTAGACAATTTGATGACTAATACAGGGAGTGGTGTTTCCATGTGTGGCCCCTGCTATGAGATGGGGACATGCAGCATCAGCTTCTTGTCAAAATTGCAGTTTTTTCTCCTGATACTAGCAGAGGCATACAGTAAAGAGTATGATAATTTTGGCAATCTCCTGTAAGCAGAAGAAAGGAATGCTCAGCATAATTCAGACTCTTGAAGAAATCCAAATGGTTGCCAAGTCAAAAATGTCATATAATTGTTTAGGTTGTAAAAGAGCCTTGAGATCATTTGAGTTCAACTGTTAACTCAGCACTGCCAAGTCCACCACTCATTTATATCCCAAGGTATCACATCCACACTTCTTTTAACTACCATCAGGGATGGCAAATCCACCACTTCCCTGGGGCAGCCTGGTCCAATACTTGACAATGTTTCCAAGAAGAAATCTTTCCCAATATCCAATCTAAACCTCCCTTGGCACAACTTGAGGTCATTTACTCTCATCCTATTGCTGGCTGCCTGGGACCCCCACGTGGCTTCAAACCTCTTTTCAGGCAGTTGTAGAGAGTCATAAGGTCACCCCTGAGCCTCCTCTTCTCCAGGCTGAACCCTCAGCTCCCTCAGATGCTCCTCTGAGGACTGGTTCTCTACAGAGTCATGGATTCACCTTACACAGCACGCGCACTCGGCAGCTAACTCTTAGGAGCACACTTTCTGCAGTACACATACACACAGCAGACTCCTCCAGCTGCTCCAGAGAGCGGCATGCTAGCGTCTGGTTATGATTAACACAGCCTCTGAGTAATGCCACATGCTAACAGCCTGTCCTGATGGTGACTCATCCTGTGGCTGCAGAATGTCTGCAGGGCACAGATGAAGCCAGCATCAGAGATCAGAAAACGAACAAGCCATCAAGTGCTGCAGGTTTGGCTTGGAGCCAGCAGCAGCACTCTGCCTTGCAACAGAGGCAAGTGTGTGTGTATTTTCCTCACCTTCCTGCACTAGCTGTCTTTTTGAAGACATCTGAACTCTATTTTGTTTCTTGTATGCACTAAGGCTGTGTTAATCAGCAAGACAAAAACACACTGCACAGGAGCCAGATGTCCCTACAATGGCCTCATAGCAGTTTCTAGATGAATAAATCTTATTAGACAGAAGGAGGTAGAAGTCTAATCTCCACAAAGCCTCTTATTTTTACTGGGCAATATAGCTCAGCCAAAGACAAAAAATGGGTGCAGAAACAGACATGGCTCTGGAAACTCATTGACTGACAAACTGTCTCCAATGAAATACTTCCTGCTCAAATGTCATCTTAGAAGAGTAAAAGGCATTTGTACCCATAAATTAAAGGATGCTACTATGCAAGGCCATGTTTTGCAGCTACTACATAACTGAGTGAACACAAGCACAGCTCTGAGCACAGCAAGTGTCTGAACCAGGACACAAGGACAGGATTTATGGTATTTTGAAGTAGTTTGCATAGGAAGGGTTTGATTTGCACTGACTTGCCACCTGCCCACGTGGGAGGTTGCCAAGAATTAAACTCATACACAGAAAGCCCCAAGACAGCTAAGGTTCTTAATTTCCTCTTCAAGATCTTTCCAGACAAACTCTTTTGCATGCATTCAAAAGAATATGCCACAGGCACTCCAGAAAGCAATATTCAAGCCACAAGAAGTTAGTAACTACAAAATAAAGAACTCTTTACTTTCTTGCCAAAGGCTGAATTTTTTCCAAGCCTAGTAGGTTAGCTAAACAAGGTCTCAAGTCCAGGCTGTTCAAGACATCTTCTACTGTTTTGTATGCATCTAGACAGTTGTATTATCTAATGTGACCCATTACCTTCAATTAATACGAGTTAAAAATTCCTCCAAGCCACCCCCGTTTACCCAGGCTGCAACAGAACATGCTTTACATGCATGGACAGAGGTAAAAGCTCAGACAGCTTCAGATCCATGATAACTGTAATCCTGTCCATATGAATTATAAACAATACATATTGCTACACACCTACCAAGGTTTTTCTTATCTCCAGGTTTGTCCTTCTGTGAGATTTAAGTATCACCTTATCTTATTGTTTAACAAAACCATGTAAAAAGATGTTGGATGAGAAGGGTCTGACTGAGCAGAGAGGCAAGTCAGTATTAGGGTGCTCTCTGCGTAGCAGTAATTGCTCCACTGTACTAGGGAAAGAGTGGGTTTGGGTTTGAAACACTATTATGAGTGGACCCATAAAATTTTGGACATTGCCAGTCATAACGAGCAAAAACACTTTAACAGCCGACAGGAAGTCATCCCACCATATTGGAGTCAAACCCAGGATATAATACTTCCACGAACTCTTTGTATTTATATTAAATAAGACTGGTAAGCAGGGGAGATCATCCAAACATGTTTAGCCATAAAAAAACCTGCATGACAGATCAAAACTGAACATCAAGCTTCTGAGATAGCTTTATTTTAAAATAAAGCTTTAAAACTGCCTACACCATACTGAAAGCCACCCCTTCTGAGTGTAGATGTAGGGGTTTTTGTTTAGTTTGAACAACTGGTTCACTCACAGTGTATGTTATACTATTGCCATGAGAGAGTGAAAAAATTAAAATGCAACAAAGACAAAAAAAGCAAATTGAATCTGAGGTCTGTAAAAATTGTGGAATGTACATATTAAGTTAGCAACTTATGTCCAGGACTAGAGTTTAATTTTACAAGTACATTAACAACAAAAGTCCATAAAGTTGTTGACGTCTTCTGTGTTACCACTTAGCAGGGGGACAAAAACAAAATCAGTCTTTAATGTTTTAAACCTTACCCTAAGGTAATTAGAAGATAATTTGTCCTAATTGACTGGAACAATTTCAACTAAAATACAGTAATCCCTAAATGAAGCATTTCTAAATTGATCTTATCACTAATACTTACAATCCCTTTGTTTTCCTCACTCTTCCCTCTCTGTCCCTAAAAAATGCAGAAAAATAAAAAGGAATTTGAAACTTCAATTTGATCTGCTGTTTTGTGCTTATGGGCTCAGCCACACTTACTCAGTGCTTAAGGGTCATGTTTGCTTTATTTTAAAATAGGCTTTGCACATCTCATTAAATCAGACATGTTTCATTATAGATTTTTATAAGGCTTATAAATTTAAAAGTAATATAAACCTTATAAACTTTTATAAGATTTATAATACTTTAAATGTAACTAAATTTAAGTAGCATCTTCTTTCAAATCACACCTGTCACTGGGTTCATTTTAGACACGACACACAAGCCAAGTACCATATTAAGTATTCTTAGGCATACTGAACATCATTCTACTTCTTGTCCCAGTATCACCACCCTTACAACTCCTAGTCTTTAACTGTACTAGACAAGCATCCTACAAAAGCAATATCCCTTGTGCAAAGCAGCCAAGTAAATATTCAGTACTGGATAGCTAACAGACTTTTGTTATCACTTAGATAGAAAGAGCATACTTACCGCTACGAAGAGCATGCAGTACATCGAGAATGAAGAATGGCCAGAATAAAATGATAGTCTGGAAAAGAAAAGATCAGAAAACATCAGTTTTCTTTTACAACATTCAGTCTGCAGTAACAGTAATAGATATTATACAAGTGAACTGGTAAAATGCAAACATGTCCATACTACTCTTCAAGGAGGCTCCCTAGGCACATACACAGATTTTGAAAAAGAGTATAGATTACACTACTCAGCAGTTATCCTTTTCCAGAGTTAAGTTGATCTCTACGTCAGGCAATAAGTACTAGACTTTTGACTGAAGTTTGAACAGCAAGGGAACACATCTTCAAAGACAGTAATCAAGTGTCCTTTAATAGCTCACCTTGACAAATGACAGAATACTTCAAATATAATTACTTCTTAAAAGTCACAGTATATGTATGAATATGAATTACATTAATCACCCCAAAACAATTACTATTACTTGCAATTAGTCACCATCAAAAAGCACTAGTTAACAACTCATATCTAGTAGTTTATATTACATTTGTACGCCTTTGTGAAATGTATTATTCATACATACCCTGATCAATTACCATTGAAAGGTAGGGGGACAGGCAGGAATGCAATTTATTAGCCAGTCAACTGCAAAAGATGACACTTCATCTAATATTTGTAGAAATTATTTGTACTTGGCAATATCATTGAGAGTGTCAACATTGTCTTCAGCTCCCAAAGGCTTTTACCAGGTCCAGGCTGAAGGGACCTGACAGTCCTGGATTCCTTTGACCAAGTCCTCCCCTGCACAGCTGGTTTTGTGAGGAGCCACAGATGTAAAATAAATGCCACCCACCTCTTCAAGAAAAGAAGGCAAAATGGAAAGACATTTCTAATTTATTCTTAAGCAGAGAGATGAAAGATCTGTACTTAGCACTACTTTTTTCCATTTTATGCACAGAGCCTTGTAGCGGTGCTGCTTCACAGGCCACCAGCCAGGTTTCAGCCAGCCTTCCATGCAATTTAACCACACAACCAGAGTGCTCCCCACACAGCAGTTTGGCATACAAAAACATGGCCAGCTTAATAAAGTTTCATAGCTCCGCAGAGTGACCTCTACCATATCCACCAGGTCCCTTATTTTGGTGCCTCTGCCAGGCAGAGACACCAAGTTCAGTGAAATTCCTTGTCAAAGGAAACGCTTCCACTCTTTGGACTAGGAGTAACAAAGGCACCTCTGACATGCAGCAAGATAATGAGGTTAAAGATGCCCTGCTCAAATACCACAAAGAAGGCAATGAAACTGTCTTGTGCACAAGTGAAACTGCAAAACTTCCTGAATTAGTTGGCACATATAACATTTAGAAACTGCATCACAAAAAGTCTACATAGGTTTATTCCAAAGGTTTTAAAGCTTTTAGTTTATGGTTCATATAAAGCACTGGCAATAGCTTTTGGTTTCAGAGGTACTTAATAAGCCATCTGAAATAAGATGACTTTTGTTTCACCAACTGATATTTCCCAATTAGCTTCTTAAGAAGAAAAACTTTGACAATGTACTAGCTTCAGATGTTTAAAGTTCAAAACCATTAAGCTTTTTTAACCATTTTTCCACTCTTGTACTCAACACTTAATATTTCCGGGCAAGAGTCCACTATGAAAACCAATACAACAAGCATTTTGAAGAGCCCTGTCCTTCAAACATGTCATCTGAGAATGCAAAGCATGCTGTTCTACAGAAAATACAGAGTAGGGAATTCTTGGCTCCTATGACAGTATTTTATCCAGTAGCTCTAAGGCTATTCTATATAAATAGAATGGACATAAAATTATATTTCCTGAAATTATTGAAAGCAATCTGTTGCCAGCTGAAGGAATTTAGAAGACTAGTAAGTGATAAAAGGAAAAAAAAATACTATTCTTTAAGTTTATTTTGGATTCCCATAGCCTTTTAAAACTGTTCTTTGACTACTGGTCAAAGAACACTTTTGACCAGTGTAGTACTGACTACTTTTTTGTTTCAGGAATGTATTAGCCTAAGGTACATTAAGAATGCCTTGTCCCAGGCTGAAGGTTACAAACTTTGAATGCATTCTTATCAGGCATCGATAAATATGCTGTACATGATTGAAAATATTGTGCTTAGCACATGAAGTATTGCCAGAAATACAACTTGGGACAAAGTACTGATCCAACTTGCACTGCACAATCCCAGTGAAACTTCTTTGGCAGTACTGCTGTCTCTAGACTTTTTTAAAAAACAGACATTAAAAGAAAATCTTAAAGTCCTTTCAAAACATTAAGATTGACAATGAAAAATTTCCCAGCAATTCATCAGCACACAAATAATGTCCTCCAAAGCCTGGAGAATGTCATGTCTATCAGACCAGCCAAGCACTTGGCTTCTTTGTGATCCTATTGCAAGTGCTGGTTTGCCATGAGCCAGCAGTAAAGGGGTATAGAAAACTCTCCAAATCCCTACCTTTCACCAGTGAAAGAAAGGCTCACTTGTCCTAGTAGGATTCACACATCAGATTTCAAAATATCCTTTTCAAAATAGTCTTAGAACAATATCCAGTGAAACTGAAGTATCAGAAATAGAGCTGGCAAGTGCAGTCTTGATCTGATTGTTTCCAAAATGGCCAATTCTGACATCAAAAAATTGTTTTTCAGAGGTCCGTGTATTTCACTCCATCAATACCTACCTCACAGATCTCTTCCTACATCAGAAATAGCACTTCGTTTTAACAGGAAAACAGCATAAACTTTAATTACTTCCACTTGGACAATATATTATTCCCAAGTTAGAAAAATGCCTTTAGTAACATAAAGCCAGTTTCAGGTCTCAGTTGAAGTTTAAAGTATACTCCTAGTTTCCAGTGTACACAGTAGAGCTGGACATCATTAAAAGTCTTAAAACGAGGTAATTTAAGGGCTGTTTTGCTTTCTTGAAACTTAGTCATGAATTTCACATGGTTTCCAATAAAGATAAAGACAGCAAAAAAGTAAAGACACAAGTAATGACATGGTAGATCTTTAAAAGGTTGCCATGATATTGACTACAATTTATCACTATGGCTTATTTCTGAATAACCCAATCTAACAGTTTCTAAGAAGAGAGAGGTATTTACCAATTTCTAACCATCATCCTAATGACCAGCCTTTGAAACAAACACTGCTGATTGTGCAAGAAACAAGGGTATAAAGTAACTTTTCCTCAAGCTCAGCATCAACATGAAGTAGTTTTAATCAGCAGTAGAGTAATGCAAGAGTTGTCTTAAGTGCTAGATTGACCAGATTCTGAAGCTAGTTAAAAAGGTTTTGCTGGCATGATTTGATGGGGTTTTGTTTCTTTACTCTCCAGGAACTGAAGAAATTTCCTGATGATACTTTCAGGCATGCAGATATTCTGTAAATTTTTATTTGAACAGAAGTATTACACATGGATGGAACAACCTAACAGAGCAATGACTACCTAAGCTATCTATTTTGCATCTGACAGCAGAAGTTTGTATCAGCAGCTACCAGGAGAATAAACTTGATTGTAAAATAACAAATAATAAAAAAAAAAAAATCATACTGCTACTGGTTTTTTCCTTTTAAAATAAGCAGCAGTAAGTCTGCACGTGGAACTTCCAAATTTTTTTTTTTTAGCAAGGGAGCAAGAAGTTACCAAATGCTGTCATTCATGCCACACAAAAACATGTACATTTGGAGCTTTCTATATTGCAAAGTTCAACAAAATTCCATGCTGCAATTTCCTCACATACATTGCAAAATCATTAAAAAACAAGTTATCTTTCAACAGTTCTGATTTTATCATTCCATTTAACTCAACACTGCATAAAAGGAAAGTTTAACTTTCCACTAAATTTCTAGGTAGCCTCCTCCAATAGGGAATAAAATAAAATTAGGACTTTGTTTACTTCTCTTCTTAGTAATTTCAGCTCAGGAAAAGACTAAAAATGAAAATGGCAGCAAGGGGTACTCAGACCAACATTTCTAAAAACCAGTAGTTTGCTCTCACATGCACTAGATCACTCCTGCATCACATTTATTATGTCTGCATAACTTACCCACATAATATGTTTTTGATTTTCAGTAGTGTTATTTTACATAAAGGGAATGAAGACAGAAAATCTCTTAAATCAGGGATTTATGTGCTATTCCATCTTTAAGGAACTGCTTTGGGTAAGAAGTGATTGACAAGTATGCAGAACACATCCTTCAGCAGATTCTTGTAGTCTTCATAGGGGAAAAGGAAAGGAAGCAGTGGGAGAACTGTTAAGAGGATACCTGTTCCTGCAGTACTATGTGGTTGATACAGTTAAACACACCCCAAGTTTTATCTTATGAGATTTTTTCCTCCTGTTACCTTAGATATAAGTTTTGCAAACCACTGAAATTCTGTGAATGAGAAGATGCATCTACCTGCTTGGTTGGTCACAGCTAGCTCCCAAATAATTTTCAGGATACACTAAACACAGGTACGTATTTTGATTTCAAATGACCTTAAGCTTGATAAACTACTGAAACAGATTTCAAGCCCAGCTTTGTCTGAAAACCATTAAAGGGGAAGAGTTCTAGTTTCAGTCACAAAAATGAATGTTACCTATCACTATTCAAAAGGTCCAACTCACACAAAGCAAAGGAGATGTAAGCTCAGAAACAAGATCCAGATTGCAGAACTGCATCCGATTAGAGCATGTTCACTTTTCAGATTCAATTCTCCCTACCACCAGTCAGTTTCTTTTGCAAAGGCAGCTCCTTTTGCTCCTAGATCAAGTACAGCCCCATTTCAACATGCACAGCCAGCCTAGAAGCTTCTAAAGCTTAAATATTTAAAGACTTTTAGTCAATACCATGCCTCATTTTTTCTTCCATGTAAAATTATGTGTAGTCGCCCTAAGCTCTACTTCTCAAATGTGATTAATAATTTCACTAGGTCTGTAAGTGTTCCCAAACCAGCCACTTTAGATCTTGAATAGTAATGGCGTAAGGGTGAAAGCAGTGCTTAGGGAAAAAGCTGCACTATCTGAATAGTAGTACATGTGTGGATTTCTATTCCTTTCAAATGCC